GTAGTACATAATTTACCAATTGTAACACCTCAAATTTAATACAATATTTTATTTGACTCCTATTAAAAGGTTAAGAGACTTCTCGGATATTCTTATACTATATCATTGTGGTTTCATGGCAGAGCTGTCACGAGTATGAAGATAAGAATTATGATGAATTTTTTGCTGTTTAAATATAGTTAAAAATAAATGAAAATCTTTTTAAGTAGGTATGAACTAGCAAATATGCAAAATGAGTTTTTCTCGACTCAGTTCCAAGTAAATAAAGATTTGCTCACATGCAGGATGAAAAATTTTGAGTCAATTTTTTTTAGAATTTGTATAAATGACTAGTTTATCAGTGGCCACAACTACTCAGGTTTTAACCACTTTGTGGTTGAAACGCGTTGTATTTTTAAATAAAAGTTTGATGTGACGGGCTAATCGTGTTTTTGTTCATCGTTTTCAATACCAAGAAGATCCAAGAAAAAGTTGCAGTATAAAGCTCTGAATGTTTTTAAATAATTTGTTATTTACTCAATTGAAAGTAAAATTGGTAACTGAGTTTCGCTTCAAACTAAATATACTGTTAAATAAGAAATGACGTTTACAATGGAAAAGATTTATTGTTGTGGTTTATGGGATCAGCCTCTAAGGGTCCGCAAGGTTTATTAGGAGGACAATCTTTTCTACGCTGATTGTATATACATACATTTTTGCAATCAAATATGACTAATATGAATCACCTGTTGAAAAAACTATGTATATGCTAAAGTTGAAATTTTAAGTGAACATAAACTGTAACATTTACTATAAGTTAAACGTTAAACTTCTGCAATAATTATTTCTGACTATAAGCAACAATGTGTAATGATCATAATAAACACTATACTATTTTTGTTTGTTTGCAATGATTTATTAAACTTTAAACTTCTGAGTTATCCAAACATTTGCTTTATTGGCCATGAAAGAATTCATATACCTAGTTACTTAATCTTCCAATGGCACATCTATTATAAAATTATTCTATATATCTCTGAACTATGCATACATATATCTGAGGAATTCCGCTTTGTGGTGTGTTTTCAAATCTTGTAATCTCTTCCTCATTCCTCTGAGAGAAAACTCATGATGTTTCATTTGGTTACTAGTCTCTAGATTACTTGCATTTTGCACAATAAAAATACTTTTTTTATTGGATTTTAATTAAAAAAACAAGTTAAACACTGTTTAAGGTTAATTTTCTTGTTTGGCAAATGTTTGCACAAATTAAAGAAAAACAATGGCACAAGCTTCCATAATGAGCAAAATTTCCCATAGAAAAACTAGCAATTGCATCCGTTTTATTAAGTCAGATAATAAAACGTATTTTTTTTAATATTCATAATTATGTGTATGCGTATTGTTGAAACAAAGTCGCAAGATATGATAAGATGTCGATAAATAAGTTTATCTAGTATACTTTAGAATTAAAGAATTTTGATTTCTAATAAAAACTTAGTTAATTTTGCGGAGTACCACTTAGAATGAATTAAAAATAATCTAGAAACGAATAAGGAAATATTTGAAAAGCACTCTACATATATTTTAGATAACATACCTTACCTGCTCACTAGTTGTTTTATAAAAAAAAATATTAAGCTAATATAACTGCTTCATTATTGATACATTTTATAAAAGACTAATTTGCAAAGCCGACATGAGTCATAGATGCAGATATTTTGTTAACACGTTTAAAGTTTCTTGATATTGTATTACATTTGTTTGTGAGGAAGTAACCAGATTTACACAAGATGAAACATATTTTATTTTGTCAGAAAACGGCTAGCAGACCTGACCTGGCTTGACCATTTTAAGGGAACCTATCTCAAATGATTTCAAAATTATTGCACTCACTACGTTCACGGTACTATATTGTCTTATTATTCATTCTTATTAACAAAAAAAAATACTACTCTACAAATTACAAATTTTTACCATGTGGATAGCAGATTGCAGCCCTCGACATTAAAACCTAAAAGCGTCATTCCGTATAAGCTAAACTATCCATGTCAGATAACCCTGGATTTTTCCCCCTTTTGTTTACTCAACTTTGCATTAAGTAGTTGTTGAAAATTGACGATTCTGACCTTTTGGTCAACGTATAGCGGCCATATTTGGCCGACACAGTGTTTGTATAGCGTTTCTTCTATCGATCGGCATCCTATTATGGCCGCTTTTCTGCACAATGAGGCGAAAGCGAATTTCTCCACAACCTGTTGTCAGAGATGATCGATAACTACTAGTATAGCATGGAAGTGTTTGCAGTCAGATGTCAAGTGTTGATTCAGTTATATCTCTTATCGGTCCTTTCCTAATTTTATTTATGACCCTGACGTCTGATGCACTTTATTTTCTGAAAAATTTTGATTGAAATTTGGTGGAAAATGTCTTGTTTTTCTTACTTACTAGTCTCATAGTGCTGACGCTTGCCACATACAAATAGGACAATTAAAATCATTAACCCGTGATTCATTAGTTCAATTACGTTGTTATTACTGTGTTGTTAATACAAAGGCCAACTGTTGACTTGAGAACCACACTGCTAAATTCAATTATAGCAATTATTGCATCAATAACAAACTTTGTCTACATGATGACATTTTCTTTAATATTCCTTTCATCTTCCTACTTAAGTCTACCACAAAAATTAAGAGTGCATTATTATATATTTTTTTTTTAGTAACACTGCTGTTAGTCAGTGCGTGAGTCAGAGAAATACTGCAATTTCTTGTATACAATTTCAATTTTACACGAAGATAAACAATAACAATTAACAAGTGTGAAGAATGTGGATTAGATAAAACAATGAAAAATTTAAATATCTAAATAAAAAAGCAATAGATATCATAACCAATATTTGCAAATTGCGTGGAAGAATAATTACACGTTGCTGCAGATTAATTTATTTTCTAAGACGTAAAATGGAATATTTCCCTAAAAAGGTTATTATAAAGTAATAAAATAAATATGATTGCAATCAAAATTGTTGAATCTGGTTCACTTAGTAAATATTTACTCCCTAGGGGTTGAAGACATAATCAATCTCACCTACTGAAAACGTATCTACTCTTACTTCATTAGCTTGTTTAGTTGCAAACAGAACTGGTTGAGCTTTACTTTTACTTATTTTTTAAAAAGGGTTTTAAAAATATTAAAACGAGGTGCGGTCTCCAGTTTCTAACACGGAGGGTTGTGTATAAGCAAATCTTTTGGGAGAACCCTGCCTATACAAAATATTATGATCAAAATTCTTTTGTGTTCTGTATTGAGAGGATTAAATTGGGTTCACGTTGCATATTGCTCATTTTAATATTGCATATTATTCAGAATTTGTTTTCTTAAATTTTTACATTTTCTGTGTTTTTAGGACTTAAATAGGGAAAGTATGGAAAAAGAACGATCAAGCGATATATACAGGGGGTGCGCCAGAACTCAGGCCCCATAGAAAAATAATACTGTATGGTTTTAAGTTTTTACTAAATAAATTGGAGCTTGTTTACATCATTGAGCGGAGTTTTAAGGATAAAAATATGGTAATCGAAATATGCAAACAGTTTTTTTTTGTTATAATTTACGCCTAAAAGAAAATTTTTTTTACGAAAGTAGCTATACAGGCTGGAAAAAATGTTAAAAAAAAATTATCTATAAAAATTTGGAAGTTATGAGGGTTTAAAGTTTGCACTTTGACTCTATTTATTTTTATTCGAAAAATAATTTTCCAAGTTTTTTTGCTATAGGCTATTAAAAGAGGAAACAAGAAAGCTGTATTCTAAATTGTAACTCTGTTCAATGTTATTTGTGGCTTTTATTGTCCCTTTACTAAATAATTGTAAAAAAACATATACAAGATCATCAGTATTCTTAAATAGATATAAAAAAAATGTCAAATGTCAATTTTTTTTGACAGATAGAATTTTTTTAAACATTTTTTTCATGTTCCTGGTATCTTACATTACTTGAAAATTTTCTCTGGGGCGCGTGTACTGGCGCACCCTGTATTGAATATTGAACCGGTTTTCTGTTAGACAAAATTGTGAACAATTTTTAGATTCATACATTTAATGCTATTTGTTAAAAAGATGATAGTTTGTAAGTTCCCAGTTTTATTTCATAGAAGCCTGATAGTTTCTCCAGAAAAAATATTGTTCATATTATTAAACCATCCAGTATTTATTTTTAATAAGAGTTTTTAAATTTCGTATTGATTTATTTTGGACCAATCAAATGTTATTAATCATTAATGTTGTTAATTTTCAATTCACAATGGCCTACCGAATAATTGATGATAATAATTATGTATAAATCATAATCCGCTATTGGTGGCTGATCGCCAATAACCTGTTTATTTTCCATCGATCATTGCTGCTCAAGAAAGAGCAAATAATCTGCCGGATCTAAATTCCTCTGACACATTTCACACTGACTTGAATCTGTTTTTTCGTTTCACGCCATATATTTGCAATTAAAATAGCATCGAATCTGGAAAACAGATTGCTGGCTAATGTGATGCCATATGAAAATCAAGTACACCATTCACTGCTATCAGTGCCGAGGAGTATCTCATTAACTCCAGATGAGCGACATATGGAAACGATTCCGTTTTATCAAAAACTTTTCGTTCTTCTGCGAAAAATTCCTCCTTATCTGGATCGATTCCTATTTCACTGAAGTTGGAACAGGAACCGAGTCTGGCGGATCCTGGAAAACGCTTGGAACCGACTTCCTTATTCCAGCCGCGAATTACATCCTTCGCTTAATGAAACTATTATTAGCCGGCTCGAAAATTGCATTAACGCGCTTGTTTGACTACTGTCATACTAGCAAATTGATTTGCTACATAACAAGGGGCCTACGCCGACACTGACTGCGATAATGGTGACATGATGTTTGAACAATGAACGAGTACATACTTTATTAAATTTCTCAATGAATTTTTCCTCGTAACTTCTAATAATCTAATGAGACATTTTTTGTTACAGGCGCCGGAGAATCAGGGAAAAGCACGATAGTCAAACAAATGAAGTAAGTAGCCAAGTTTCACTTCCAGTTTTGAGTTTCTTCTCATATTGTTTCATTCTTGATCAAGTTGGTGGATCTTTATTATATTATTGTTTTGTTGTAACTTTCGGAAGAGTCCAATTCTTTTTTTCAGAAATTAGATTAGTGTCACGAAGTTATTATCTAATTATTTCTCAAATCTTTTCCGAAACCAAATTCACGTTGGTAGGGGTCTTCCATTTCTTGGATTTGTAGAAAATTTAAGCACAATTGTAAATATGATGTTTATTAAATAATAATTATAATTTTTTAGACAATGTTGTTGTTACCGTACTACGAACTAATAAATGTTTAATTGAATTAATTCGTGGGAAAAATACAATACGAGTACCTTAAAAATTATTTTTAGGTGATAGGCTTTTTATTGATCTAACAAACAATTTTCGTTTGTGTAAGCGACAGCACCATTACAGCGACTAATGTCTGACTCTTTATAACTGCCAAAGTCACCTATTAATACAACAAATACATTACACTGTAAATAATGCCCTTATCGATTTTTATTAACTCATAAAAAATTTAAGAATGATCTTACTCAACCTGTGGACACTTCAAATGAAATTGAAATTTAAAAATGTTGACTGCAATTCCAAAAATGTTTATACTGCTTTAATGGAAATTTTGAAGAATTCAAATTAACTGTCAACAGAAATGTACACTGTATACTGTATAGTATGTCCCCGAATTGAGTTTACAAGAGGAAAAATTTTTTCTTTCATCTTACGCCAAAACTGCAAAAGAAAAACATTTTTTGCTTCACCTGATGATGAAAATGAAATGTTAATTTTTCTCTTGATTTTAGACTATTTAACTTGCGAAAACTCATTTGTCAAAGTGACATCATTGTCAAAAAAATAAAACCGCCAATGTGATGGGATGAAAAGCAGAGAAAAAAGTCCAAAACCAAAATAAAAATGGACTTTTCTTTCTACTGAGTTAGAATAATGAAGTTTTAATTACAGAATTGCTCGTTTCAGGTAAAGCAAAAAATGTTTTTTCTTTACAGTTTTGGCGTAAAATTAAAGATAATTTTTTTTTTCTCTTGTAAAATCAATCCGGGGACATACTGTATATTTTGCAAGAACAATTAAAACATTAATTTTAAAGCATCGAATTTGAATACTACAGAGTATATCATGAGTGAAAAAACGTCTGAAGTTAAAACATTCTTAGTAATTGCTCCCTTTTTATAAAATAAATAACAAACTGGAACAAGTTTTATAGATGTTATTTTTTAAGTATCTTACTAAACATAATCTAAGTGTACCTATAATAGTTTTTCTTTGTGCACATTTTTATGTGTTTATTAGTCTCTTCTCAAATTTTTTGTAGATCCTCTGAACTAGTCTGTTATTTATTGTGTTTATTGCATTTTGCTATTATAATGTATTCTTGTCTTACAAAAAGTTGTAAAAATTACGAGTTGGGGAAATAACGTCTCATTATTAAAGAAATTTTTAATTTATTTTCTGATTATGTATGTTGATATATATTTTAAAGTTATTGAGTTTTTGATTAATTAGTAATTATAAATATCAATCAGATTATCAGTTAACATAAAGCAGGGATGATTTTGTTAGCTTTGTGGGTTTTACACTAATTGAAAAGCAATAATAAACTGTGATAATGGTTTAGACTACTTTATTATTTAGAGAATTTTTGCTATAATTGAACAAAAATTAAATAGTACATTACAAGCAAGGTGGTAAATTACCGCGAGTGCTTATGTATTATACATAATTATATATATTATGTATTATATATAAAGCACAAGGGGTAATGCCATTACCACCGAGGTTTGTATGCTATTTTATTCACAATCACATTATTTTCAGTTAAAAATTTGAGTAAAATAAAATTGTAACAAACGTGGTAGGCCATCCAAATGGCGTTTGATTTTTGACATTTAAAAAATGTCAAAGAAAATATTGAAATATTGTGTGAATCTGACTTAAAACCGTCGAAATGGAGCAGTGTAGTCCCTCAGAAGTAAGAGAAACTGCTACAAAAGCAATTGAATACTAATTTAGCAAAATATTATCCGTAACTTGACAATTTGAAAGAAAAAATTCCCGGTATCTTTGTAATTTTAAGGTTGGCTATCCTGCATATTACCGCTCAAGAGAAGTAATATTATTACTTCTCATGAGATTTAATGTGCTTCTCAACCTTTAAAGGGTTAGTAATCGGCATATTACATTGGTGATTGTGAATAAAAAATAATAATTTACACTTGAAAGAAAAACGCAAATTGTCAACAACAAAATTGTCTAATTTTTCAGAGATTTACATAGTGTATCCAAAAAGGTTAGAAAACTATCAAAAGAAATGTCGTTTTTAGTGGTCTTGCCAGTGCACTGTCATAGTCAGTGTTAAAAACGAAATGGAAAAACTTGATAGCAGTTTGGAAGATGCCTGACAATTATGAGATTGTGAATTGTGAGAAAAACAACGTCAAAAAGCTGGCATTTATTAACAGGTCAAATTACATTATAAAAAAAAACAATTTGCGTTTTTTTTGCACTCAAGTGTATACAGGCTGATTCACGAGGAATAATGAGCCTGACCAAATTCAACATTACATTTGTCGCAAAGCAACTTGCGAAAAGTAATGGTGGTTGCATCGAGAATTTGGTCAGGTTCATTATTCCTCGTGAATCACCTTGTACAATTGTATTGTTTTGAATCTGCTGTAACATTTACTTTAACTATTTTGCTTCTTATTTGAAGTTCATTATACTTTTTTATTATTTGTTTGAAATTAGTTTTTATGGGGATTTATAAAACAGTTTAGAACAACTTATTTATAAGATTTTTACTTGCATTGATTAAACATTTTCAAATTTTGCACAGTTATAACAAGAAACAACAGTTTTGATCCTAAAATGAGATTTGACATTGATTCTATTAAAAATGTATGTTTCAATTTTCCAAGATTTTCCGCCACCTTCAATAAATAAATCAAGTAGGTTGTAACCCTTCAAAATTCTAGTACTAAAGCATAGAAAAGTTCAGTTGAATAACTTTAAAAGTTCAATAGTGTCAAAAAAATAATAACAAGAGGCCTTGTTGGCAATTAATGGTGAAGATTTACAAATATTTGTTATTGAGGAAAGGTCATTTGTCAACTTTTGACTTACTGTTTTAGAGAAAAATTGTATTAAAAGATCAACTTTTTAAGTAATAATTACAATGAATAAAGCTAAGAGTAAAAAGAAGAGCATTTCTACATATTTAACTGCACATACTACATGAAATTGTGAAATAATTTTGGCTACTGCAACCTATTTTGAGAGTCCAAGAATAACAAAATTTCAAGAAAGGCATCAAATAAATGAAGCCGTGTTATAGAAATATCTGTTATTTTGCGTCTGATTTAAAAACAAACCGCTATTGTTGCAAAATAAATAATGAGACCATTATGTGTAGTGATCACAGGAAATTGAAATGACGACATCTGGCGTGTTACAGACTAAAAATCGTTATAATAAATTTAGCATTAAGTAAATAAATTGATGCAAACAAAGATTGTGTAATCGGTATTGATCAGTGATTAGACAGAAGAGGGTGGAAAAAGTTTTAGCACTCTCGATAGCATTCGTCAGGTAGGTATCTCGAAAATTTGAAATGGTAATGGATCAGAATAATAAGGCGACTACATTGAATACCAAAGGCCATTCACAGGCAGTAAAGTTTTTAAAACAGAAGCAAGCATGCACAAGACGGCTTCCTGTTTTTTACGGTCGCTAGAATTGGACCAACTTGAAAACACTCTGTTTTTTTATTGAAGATTTTAATCCAGATGTCTCTCATGCAGCCAAAACGTTCAAGCTTGTTTTTACAACTTTTTAGAATGATTTCTAATGTTGTCAGTAGAATTGCAAAGCTGTAGCCAAAGTTTGGAATGAAAATTATTCATCGGACACACCCACAAAAACTACCATCGAAAGACAATCGCAACCGAGCAAATATTGGACCAGTCTACGGCACGTTTGACTTGCTCCATTAGTGATTTGAATTTTTCAGGTTGAGCAAAATGTCATTCAGTTTGCGTACCGGGGAAAAACAGTTGTTGCGTGTAACAAGTGTTTCATGGTTCAGCCGGGAGTTTCAGTGAAAATTGCCCACAGACAAACTTTCGAGTGGGGCGTAACTAGTAACGTAAGTCTGGGATAGGACAGGTTTCCGCGCACTCGATCAATACGGTTAAAAAGTCCACACTGACTTTGCTTGTGATATCACACGAATTGGTCTAATCTAATCATTCTAATCGACATGTACACAATGAACATAGTTAACGACTAATGGCGTAACCAAAGGTACGGAACTAGGAAACCATTTACTGAAGACTGAGGTCGCAAGAGTTATTACAGGGTGTCTCTAAAAACAATGACAAAACTTGAACAGATTATAAATTCAGTAGAACAGAGAGGTATATTGAAAACGAGAAAATTTACCATTAATTTAGCCCATTAATTCATGATCAGTGATCAGTGATCACTAAATAAATTACGCTGTAATGATTGAGAAAACAATAAAAATAAAAACGAACCTTCATCGTTCTATATCTCCGAAACCAAGCGGTTTTCCCAAAATTATCAAAGAATAAAATATTCTTAATAATTCAAGGAATCACCACTTGAATTTTTGACATATACAAGCTGTGTAATAAATCGCGCCCCAGAGAAAGATTTCGAGTAAGATAAGATATTAGGAACATGGAAAAAAATGCTTAAAAAATTCTATCTGTCAAAAAATGTTGACATTTTTATGTATGTTTAATGATACTGATGATCTTGTATATGTTTTTACTTTCCTTATCCTATAAGGAAAGTATTGTAATCGTCTGAAATTTGACCTACCTATATTTTTCCATTTCGAATTATAGCTTCAAGACACCAAAAAAGTTGGTTTGGGCCATTGGGTCGTTTGTGTGTGTGTCTGTCTCTAAACAGCACATCTCGAGAACGATAAATGCTAGAAACTTCAAATTTGGTATGTAAGTTGCTTGTAGTAAGGGGACGTAGCACGGAACAATTGGTAAAAATCGGTTTCACCGTTCGGCTGCAAAGACCAAAAGTCGGCCGTAAAGCGGCCGCAAAATTATACGGTTGAAGATACAATAAATTGATGGGGATACAAATTATTTAGAATCATGAAATATACGTTATTAAACAGTAAAATGTAATAAAGCAATAATAACAATGGGTACCGAAGTAAAAAAAAAGTGCACCTTATACTCGAACCTGCGTCAACTATGATCTATTTGGCGTGTAATCCGGCATTAACGCAAGGTTAGGTTTGCTATTCGGATTTCCAACACTAAATTATTGTCGTTAGGATGTTTTCCAAATAAGAATAAGGTAAATCGTGTGATGTTCACACCAGATTTTTTATAATTTATTAGTAAAGGTACAAAAATTTTGCCAATAGAAGTCACAAATAACATTGATAAGAGTTACAATTTAGGATACTCCTTTCTTGTTTCCTCTTTTATAACCTGTATCAAAGAAACTTGGAAAATTATTTTTTCAACAGAAATAAACAGGGTCAAAGTTCAAAAATTTAAACTCTCATAACTTCGAAATTTTTATAGATAGAATTTTTTTAACATTTTTTCCATGGTCCTTGTATCTTACCTTATATGGCCTTTTTCTCTAAGGCGCGAGTTTTGGCGCACTCTGTATTTAGTAAACACTTTGTATAGTTATTAATGTCTTCTATTCATGACACCTTATACTTTCTTAGTTGTAAAAAAAATTGGATGTATAACACAAATAATATACAGGCTGGATTATAAATAACGCCCCAAGACATAACTTCATTATTTTCAAAGATATGAAAATATTCCTTTGATCAAAGTTGAACAGTTTATCAGTCGTATGCTTGTCTTTGATAAAATTAATATAAATTTTCTATTCTTTCCATAGCCTACTTGATTTAATTGTCATAAATACATAATACTTAATGAGCTTGTTAAAAGACAATTTAACGAGGAATCTAAAAATAATAAAATATTCGGGTGTCCCATTTAAAAAACTGAAATTGTTGTTACTTTGGATGAAACAGAAAGCAGCATTGATTGAACATTTGTTTCAAAAAATAGATGATAATAAACTGCGAAACAGCTCGGCGCGTTTTCTATAATCTAGCTTGTATAATTTAATGTATTTTATAATTATGATTTAATGTTGAGCATACATGTGCAATAAATTAAAAAAGTTTTCTTCTGTAAATTCTCTAAAAACTTTTTAAATCTTTATTTAAAAAGTAAAATCGTTATTTATTTCAAAAAAGATTTGCGGTAATGTCAACTTACAGTATGTTTATGGGCTAAATAGTAAGTACTCCTAATAAATGTAAATTTCTTTCTCCTTCCGCTCGTAATCGCATAATAATTGCTGAATTTTTTCGTGACATTGATTGATGTACTGTTCTGTTCCAGAATTATTCACGAAAGTGGATTTACAAGCGAAGACTTCAAACAATACCGACCGGTGGTGTATAGCAACACTATTCAATCCCTTGTGGCCATCCTGCGGGCCATGCCAAACCTCGGAATCAGCTACGGCAACAACGAGCGAGAGGTAAAGGAAGAAAAAATGTTTTCTCCAAAAATTTATGTATTGTAATACATGGAATCGGCGGTTTTCCAGTACAAAAAATAACCACGCCGAACTATTTCGAGCGTAAAATATTGTAAAGTTTAAATTAAAATTGCGTTCTTGGTGCTGAAATAATAAATAATTGACTTAAAATAAGTCCAATATATTCGGAGAAACAAATATTTATATTATTAATGTTTGGGTGTTGAACGGGGCCGGAACCTGACATGTGAAAAAGTTTTCAGCCGGCGCAAAGAATACGAAGGGAGTCTATAGTTGGAAAAATGGGACCTAAGGCAGATGTTGTTTGTCTTTCTGTTTGAGCTTCCTTCCAATCACTGAACAGTTTGCAGGTTAAATACATAAAATATCCAACTATATTTTGTAAAGAACCGAGAATGCAAATAAAATGAAATTTTTATATATTTTTGTTTTTTTAGCATTGCTCTTAAATATTAACTTATGAGCAGTTTTCTCTTAGATTTTGTTTTTAATTTTCGATGTGGAAGTTTTAAATTGAAGTATTTTGACGGTGAAAATCTAAGTTGGGACAACCTGGAGACACTGTAATTCGGGTAGATTAATTATGGTTCCACTTTTGCGACATAAAATGAGACCACTTGCGGATTAAAGCCAAAGTTTATTTTCCAAGCGGCAAAGTACACGTTCATTCACCGCAACCAAAAAGGGCAGGCTTCCAATTTCCATGACCTTGTTACCTGTTGCTGTACTAAATTAAAATAATTCCAATTTCGCCAACAGATCGATGGTAAAATGGTTTTCGACGTTATCCAAAGAATGGAAGATACTGAACCTTTTTCCGAAGAACTCCTCGCCGCGATGAAGCGGTTATGGGCTGATTCGGGGGTTCAAGAATGTTTCGGTCGTTCCAACGAATACCAACTGAACGATTCCGCTAAATAGTAAGTAAATTGGACACTTATTCATGTCCCAGAATCGATCGTGTTTGTTTTTAGTTTCCTGGACGACCTGGACCGATTAGGTGCCAAAGATTATCAACCTACGGAACAGGACATCCTCCGCACAAGAGTTAAAACGACGGGAATCGTAGAAGTGCATTTCTCGTTTAAAAATCTCAATTTTAAGTAAGTTTGTCAAATTTATTTCAGTTTCAGGAGGTTTCATATTCCAAGATTCTCTCTTTTTTTTTAATGGGAACCTAAATCTACATGTATAGTAAGTCCCCTGATTGAGTTTACAAGAGGAAAAACAAATCTTTGATTTTACGTTAAAACCGCAAAGGAAAAATATTTTTTGCTTCACCTGAATCAAGCAAATCTGTACTTAAAACTTCATTATTCCGATTCAGTGAAAAGAAAAGTTAATAATTTTTCTGTACTTTTTAAGTCCCATCACATTGGCAGTTTTATTTATTTGACAACTATATGTCACTTTGACAATTTATTTATTAATTAAATAATGATAGTTCTTGTTAAAGATGTCTTTGGTTTTTATCTTGAATCTGTTTCTTTGAGTTGCTATTTATTAATAGTATATTATAATACTAGTTTATAAGCAAGGTAGGACTTAAAAAGCAGATAAAAATTATTCTAAGTTAAAAGTTAGTCCAAAATTAAGAGAAAAATGAACTTTTCTTTCTACTGAGTTAGGATAATGTAGTTTTGATTATAGATTTGCTCGTTTCAGATAAATCAAAAATTGTTTTTCCTTTGTAGTTTTGGCGTAAAATCAAAGATTTTTTTTTCCTCTTGTAAACTCAATTCGGGGATATACTGTATAGCTTCCAGTATTCGTGTTCTTTTTAAATTTTGGTTGTGGCATTGCGAGTTATAGCAATTTTTTACCTTTTACTTCTTTTTCAAATAAAAGGACGTTTGCTTTTTGTTGTGCTTTTTGTCAATTTCAAGTCAAATTTTTGAAAGAGCAATGTAAAGGGTTTTGAAAAACTAACCTTGTAACACTAGGCCAAATTTGAATTTGTTCCATAACTAAACCTCCTGAAAACCTACAATATTTAAATAAGTTGAGTTATTTCGTTTTTTTTTGAACTCTTACTTTTTTTACCTTTTGGAATATCATTCACAATTATTAAATTCTTCTTGTCTATTTCACATTAACAAAATATTTTAATATTCACGTTATCTATGAAATGTAAAGTTGGTTGCTTCAAAAAAATTTCAGGCTCATTATTACTCGTGGGACACGCTGTATAACTTTTGTTCGATCGAAACAATGCGGTTTTTATTTATTTTTATGTTTTAAAGACGTAAGAGTTGCTTTAACGCTAAATCAATAATTATTTAGTTAAAATGTTGGTTTTATTTAAAAACAAACATAAATTCTATGAGTAAATACAAGGTGAACCAAAAGTAACGCACAAAAATCATAATTTTATGTGTCGTTTTTTAAGAAAATCCTCGAACATGTCGATTTTACTTTTGTAAATGATACATTTTCATCATAATAATATTTATACCGTCAGTGACTCTTAAGGAACGACGTTATCGGTATTTTTTAAATGGCAACCAACGTTTTTATTTAAACCCAGTGACGTCATAAATGTTGCAATACTGTCGAAATGTAGCATTTATAAAAATAAAATCGACCTATTCGAGGATTTTTTTGAACAATGACCCATAACAAAGATATGAATTTTATGCGTTACTTTTAAATCATTCTGCATATGTATGTATATTTTGGCACAATAATTTGCACTATGTAATTGGATTTAAAAGTTATTTTAACGTGTGACAATTTAAAATTGAATACTGCTATATTTTACTTGTATTTCTATTGAAGAGTTGAGAGAGCGCAACTTATTTTAACAATTGTTGTGGGTTTTCTCACGTAAAAAACAACCGTGCACACAATTTTCATAGCACAAAGTCTTACCCCAAGTTTGAAATGTGTTCACTCCAGTCTCACAGTCTTTTGAAATATTAAATGGCTACATTTTTAGCAGCTGCTGCAACCCATTTCCACAGTTTCTTTCATTGTGACTCATGGAATTAAATGTGCTGAATTCAAAGAACCTTTTATGTGTCGCAGTGAAATAAATACATCGTATGTTACATTTGTAATTTACTTTTACAGATTATTCGATGTGGGTGGTCAGAGGTCGGAAAGAAAGAAATGGATTCACTGTTTCGAAGACGTGACGGCAATTATTTTCTGCGTAGCAATGAGCGAATATGATCAAGTCCTACACGAGGACGAAACGACAGTAAGTTGTTATTCAGACATTCAACAAATAAATCAGTTTTTTGGATGCTATAACTGTAACATCTCCGACATATGTAGATGTAATACATTAGTGCGTTATAAATTTTCATTTGTAATTGTCCCAAATCGCGTTTTAAGTGCCGGTAGGAAATTGGCTACAGATAAAATAAAAGGAAATAATTTATAATGTGGTTATCTAGCAAGGTTTAAAACAAATAGTTTCATGTTTGTTGCGTTATTAATAGAGCCGTCAAACCAATTTTAATGGAATCTAATCTTTCATTACGATCAAGGGAAAATTTCCGGGAAGTCTATTTTTATGGGTGCATTCATTTTCCAACCTAATTTCGTGATTTTTTTCTCATTTCATTTCAAGCTCCAAATAACTTAATTTGATTTGTCAAGTGGCACCGAGTGCTCTCCGAGTTTAAATCAAGTGGCGTCATTTTGAAAGCCAGTTAAAAAATCGAACGCGGAGGGGTGGGTACTCACTACATTACAAAATGTGCTTTATTTAAAATATGTTTTGGGTTAAATACGAATTTTTTAACTTAGTATAATGTTTTTTTTTTTAAATTGGAAGTTTTGGCTTTGATAATTTTTATGCAATGTTAAACGAAACATTCATTATTATAGACACTTTTCTACCGATCAATATTCTCTAATTAACTAACTAGAAATGTAATAATTCAGGTTTTCATGATTTTTACTCATTTGATTAATATTTTTATTTGGCGCAATTCAATCACGCAATGGCGTCAACGTATTTATAATAATAATCATAGTAGGTAATAATAATAAGAATAATCCATCCAAATTATTGTATCTGTATATAAATATACGTCACAGGATTTCAACCACATAGCATTTTAGAAAATTTTCTATTCTCTGATTTCTAATTTTATAATTTAAACAGGGGTTCATTTTTTTGTCAATCGTTTAAGGTGATTAAAAAATGAAGATAATAGGAGACGTCAAACAATCAAATGATTGAGAATGCGTTGAACATTCTCAAATTAAACAAAACATCCAAAATCCAAGATTAAAAAATAGAACTTACGACACTGGAGGAAAACGACTATTTATTGAAAATTTTACTTCATGGCTGAGTAATTTTTTCTGTTTCAGAACCGAATGCAGGAGAGTTTAAAACTTTTCGATTCGATCTGTAATAACAAGTGGTTCACAGACACGTCTATAATTCTCTTCCTTAATAAGAAAGACTTGTTCGAGGAAAAAATTAGGAAGTCGCCTTTAACAATATGTTTCCCCGAGTACGCAGGTCTGTGTAAAATGAATTTGTTTTGGAATATTTTTTGATAACGCGTTATGTATTTTAAAGGTGCGCAAGAATATGGCGAAGCTGCAGCGTACATCCAAGCACAATTTGAAGCGAAGAACAAATCGACAACAAAAGAAATCTACTGCCATATGACCTGTGCCACAGACACGCATAATATCCAGTTCGTATTCGATGCAGTCACTGATGTGATCATAGCTAATAATCTACGCAACTGCGGCCTCTACTGAGAAACCTCTAATTACTATTCCTTTTCATACATTATTGACTTTAGTACATGGTTAAACCAAAAAAATAAAACAGACATGGTAGTGCCGGTGTATTTGTTAAACGTTACGGTACTTCTCATTCACGGGAAGTCCCGGCAACGTTTACTGTTATAATTGTACCAAAGTTGAGTGAGATGTTGAAATGTGTTCTTTTCTGTTGATCGATGACTTAGTTGGTGAGTTTGACGAAATTAGTACTACAAAAACAATACAAGGGGTAGCTCTTCTGTGCTTGATAATAACATCGGTTGACAATGTTGAATTTTATTTTTCTGTCTCTATTTAAAACGTATTTATTTTGATGTAATCTGTGCACAAAATAAGTTTTTTTAAGATGAATTTATTATATACAAGATAGTGTGCCATTAAAAAGAGATTGCATTTATCAACGTATTATTGTAGTTGCTTTCTTTTTCTTCTAAGTTATTTGTTTTTTTTTAATATATTATGGTTCAATGTTATTTATGTTTATATAATTTTAATGAATGAAAAAGAGCTATATTACATAGGTTTAGTTACCAAATTTGTAAAAACTAAGTATGTGTTAATGATAATGTGGAACCAAATTATTACTGTCTGGCTCAAGTAGCGTTCATCTACAATATGGTAATTAATATTAATTATAATAAACATTCTAATTATAAAGCCTACTTGTGTGTAATTAGTTTTGTCAAAGTATAATATCAAAACATATTTTTATAGATTTTGTTATTATACTTTATTGTCCGAATTGAATCAGGAAATTATGGACCTTTAAAAGAACAGATGCAAATATAATATAATACATTAATGTGTACATAAAAACTATATGGCGCTTTAGCAGATTTAAAGTAGCTTCAGTACCATTTCGTAGCGTAGCCAGTGCATTTACTTTGGTCATACTGTAATTTAATGAATGACATGCATTTTTAAATGATACATTCCTCTCAATATTTTGTATCTCCCATTTTATGCTTTTTTTACAAAGAAAAACAACAAATTGTAAGTGTATCTAATTATTCACTCTCTCTAATTCACTGAAGCAGACGTTATTTGAATACAATCATCCATTTTAGAGCAAAAACTAGTAATTGTCGTATCAGTATAACAAAAGTAACGTAAAATACATAACAACTCCGACAAGTGGGCACTAAACAACCTTTTATTGATATTCGATCCTTGTTTAGAATTTCGCCAATTTTGTTGTGTATTCTATGTTAATTTTGCGCATACAACCAAACTGTTATGTAAATTGTAGTATTTAATATCTGGTAGTATCCTATTGAATCATGATTAAATCTCTAGTCAGTTTATTTTCTAATTGTGACTACGGCATTATAACTTTTTTGTAATTTATTTCAAAAATAAAATAAGATGTAACCCACAATTGTTTTAATGCAGGTTTATGTTGTGCGACATCTACACAGCTAGAGAAAAAGTAGTCCAAAATGGACAATTAAACTTGTAGGTAGGGCGCGGACAATTTTATTATTTTGAATGCACAAAACGTGAACGAATAAAAGTTGCTTTCGCATTAATTATCCAAACGATTTTTCACACATTTTTGTACTTGACGTCTCGTGGATTTAAAACATATCTTTAAGCAATTGGTCCTCATTTCTTCAACTCAGTTTATGTGTTATTTCGACATGCTCATAACGCTACATCAATTTGTTCGATTTAAACCATGAGACTGTCCAAGTTTTTAGCCACATGTACACGCATACTATTGACTTGTTGCTTTGTTGTGAATAAGACTAATTATAAGAAGATTATTAAAGGTACGGCGCTAGTTAAATGCAGTGAATGATGTACATGTTTTCCAATATCAGTAAATGTAACATTCATAACTGAGGTTGTTCTCTCATTGTATGTTTGTTTCTCTGTGATGTGAATACGATAAATAAATTTTACCCATTTCGAATTTTTATTTGCATTTCCACAGCTATTAGATCCCATATTTTTTATACATATTGTAAGACTCATAAGAAAATTCCTGTTGGAATATTTTTCTAAATCACAATTTTGTCTGCGTTTTTCGTAAGTTCCAACAAGCCTGTTTTAATTTTTTTAATTCAAGTTTTAAAACTTACATTTTACATGGTATTTATTGCACTGCCTTATAATCATTGTCAATATTCTATTCAAATTGTTCAATTCTTAATTTATAGAAATTAGTATATTTATTTATGATGGTTTTATATTTACGAAAATTCGTTTGGGGTTTTTTCCGGTTATGTGACCAAGTGCGTCTTTGATTGCGAATCAATATTTCAAAAGGTAAGAAAATGGTTTTTAAACTAAATGCTAACATGCTAAATGCTAAAATAAATAAAATCTATTTTACGATCGTGATCCCAATAATAAAACTATCAAAATATCTAATTATACAGGGTGTCAAAAAAAGTGTGTAAAATATTTATGGAGGTAGTAGTATGATAAAAATAAGCAAAAAAGTTTTAATAAACATGGGTCCGCAAAGTAACGGTTTCGGAGATATGGAAGATTATTCTGTTTTGAAACATTTATTTGCAATCTGTACAAACAAAAGAAGCCTCCAGCAAAAACAAAAAAAAAAGTTACATAAGATGTTTAAAGTGTTTCCATTTCTACGAAGGCATATCTTGGTCTGAAGGATATTGGAACTGTAAAACTCTCTATTGGCTCGGAATTGTTGGCATTGTTGTTTAATACGTAGCTGCAGCTCCTTGAGGCTATTTACAAGAGTACCACAGCCTAATGAAACTAAAAAAAAATTCTTTAAAAAATAAATATCCCCAAAAAAAGAAATTTAAGGGGTTTAAATCAGGCGTTCTTGCAGGCTTTCACAACAAGAGTCAAATACTGTTGATTTCACAAAACATCAGACAACCATCATAAGAAAATGCAACTTTTTGCAAAATAAAAAAAGGAGGTAAAAGAATAATCACATTCCGTTACTTTACGGACCCATGTTTATTAAGACTTTTTTGTTTATTTTGATCCATACTATTACTTGCTTAAATATTTTACACTATTTATTCGACACCCTGTATAAATGAATTCAATAAATTGAGAGGCGACAAATCTTTTTTTGCTGTCCGGTGCTAGAATCATTTATAATAACGACCCTGCACCTTCGTTGAAGCATTAACTTACAAATCAAGCAGCTTAAAATTATCCCGGCGCATCCACCAATTTATTGTCATTCGATGAATAGGCACATATTATTTAAATCTTTGTTGGAAAAAATAAATGTTCGTCCAATTGATCATTTATTAATTAGTTCACATCAGACATTCGTAAATATTCAATATAATCAAACAATATAATCAACAAAATTGTACAAATGAGTATTGATCACAATACCCTAGGCGATATCAAAGCAACAACCAGTTGAATAACTAATACCATCATCATAATCATCATTATTATTACAAGTATATACTAGACATTACAACAACGACTTACATAATTCCGAGTTACATCCTTCTCATGAAAAGGTTAATAAAAGTATGAAAGTTTCCAATGTTATATAAGCATGAAGGTTTGTTGGTTAATGTGTTAACTAATATAGATTACAGGAGTATTTTGGTCCAGCTATCTTAAGCCGAAATCTTGCGCACATCACTTGACGCTTTAAAAGGAACTATAGGGTGCAAAGCACTTAATATCATCTTTATATACAATCTTAGATAACGTAATATGTACCTAATAACTATTGATGAAATCTAATAATGTACTATAACCTTCTTCTTTTCCAGAAAAACATATTTTAAACCTCGACACACTCAGCAGTATAATCAAAGGACCACTAATGAACTTATTTTTACTTGTATACTTAACTGGAGTACACGGACAAAACGCATATAGTAATTTTTATAATTTTATCGATTGACCCATTGCTTTAGAGCTTCTTCAAACTGGAGGGTTTCTTTACTCATCCCTTCTCGGTTAGCAATTTCTTCGCCATTATCGTTGTTTTGTTCATTTTGCTGTTGCAAAATAGACTGTTGTTCACTCTTTGGGGTCTAAAACGTTAAATATTAAAATACAAATTTTGGTTTCGCTAATTATTATAACATTCATGTTCATAACGAAATCATGCAGGAGTTTTATACCAATAGGACAATAGTTAACAAAAATTTTAGGCGAACGAAATGTATTTTGCGAGTAAAGCTTGAGGGTTGAAATCTGGTATCTGATGAGCAGAACCTAACTAACCTCTCTAACAAGCGTAGCTAGCAGTGTTGTATTATCTGAAGGAGGCACCCACCTGCGGTCCGAAAGGGCTTTGATTGGACTCGGCCTGATTGTAATTAGGGTAATTTGGTTGGGCATTGTATCCTTGATTTGGGTGGTGGTGGTGGTTAAGGGCAGGGTACTGATGGTGGTTGTAATTTTGACTCGGGTGGTTTTCTGGGGGACTTGTCGGGTGTCTTGCGCGCAACTCCGCCATAAAGTTGGCGTCTTGGGCGTAGCGACGTTGCAGTTCTTGTTGCCAGCCACCATCGCTTTCGTCTTCACCATCGTCTTCAAAATCTAAACAAAGAGTAAAACATTTGATCCACTTGCGAAACGGTGAGGGAAGGAAGAACCAGCGCTAGGAATTGTACTTGTGAAGCGGCTTTTGAAGCTGCGCTACTCACCTATAGGTTTTCTGATTGCACTAGCTTCTGGCTGATTCGAGGGTTCTGTAATTTAACAATCATTCAGCAGGCAGCATTCCACATACAGTTCTACCACGGACCTTACTCTCTAAATGACAATGCAAGGGTTCGTGTTAGAGGAGAAAACGGAAAATAACCCAACGAAAACTTACCGATAATTCAAGAACATTGTATTTGCGGAGACGTTATTATCTCGCCTCTACTTGTTTTTTATAAGTAGGAATATATGGATATCAGAGGATGTGGGTCATATGTGTGCTGTAAGTTAATGTAATACTAATTCTGTAATAGTTTTTAACATTTTTGTGAAACACCAATGCAACAGTGTGTTTAGTTTTAAAAAACATTCTACCAAATTTTCAATTGTAATAATATTGTACATTTGTTAAAACTTTTAATATTGTTTTGAACTATACTACACCTAAAAGCAAGAATGTTCTTTATAAACAAAAATTAATATATAATTAAATTGTATTGCATTGTCTGTATTTTTTGTGTACGTACGTAGGTATGTAGAAATGTGTGAAAAAATCAAAAATGCGGTAATTAAAAAATTATATTGTACTTTTTTTAAAAAATACATAAATAAAAATTTTAACAATAATAAACATTTTCAAAGTAAACAACAAAAATCACAAATAAAATGGAGTATTTTATAGTCTGTGTTAAATTGTATTTCATGCTAGCTGCAGATCCAATTACAGACGCATTCCGCAAATTAAAACATACTCAGTCAAACTTTTGTTGTATCAAAAAAAATCAGTTCAAAATAATATACGTTGTAAAATATACAACCAAAAAATTCAAAATATATAACAAGACGAAATATACAAATTGTAAAAAAAATATAAACTAACTTTGTACAAAATCTAAAACAATATTATACGAAAAAGTGGAGGAGAAACTAAATAGCCTCAGTAATTCATAATACTAAACGGTGTAAGCTTTAAGTTAGGTACAGAAATACACAAAATTTCCTAGATTTTCACATGTCCGTACCTGAATTTAGTTCTCTTACTAAGGTAGACATTGCGTTAGTTACAGAATCTGCAGCCACTAACAAATCGTTCCTCAACGACCTTCCCACGGAGCCCGGTGTCCCATTTCCGTTAGAACCTGACAAAAACAATAAATATTAATATCAATAGAACATACTCAACACGACTTAAACTGCAAAATTTTGTTAGTGTACAATCTTTAAATTAAACCACATGGCAGTATTTCTAAAAATTTTTGGAGGACTTACCCATGCTAACACTGGAAGATCCACCGAACGCATTCCTCACATCCCCTCCAACCCCCATCAACGAATCGCTGTTGTGCATGACCCTCTCGCTTCTTTCCTGGACAGAAGTAGGTATCACGCCCATGGGATGTCCCACATGAGTCGGTCGCTCCGCTTGACTAACAGTCACAATGGAATTATTGGTAGGAGGCATACTCATGGGTGTTTGTGGAGCACTACGGGGCGGTTGTGTGGCTGGAGCGCCTCCTGGAAGTAGTGGAGGAGATTTTGTGCTTCTTGGAGATGAATTCGGTGTGGACCGTGGAGAACTCTGGTGATTTTTCAACATCTTCATCAGACCTTCAAGCTGAATCATTAACTGGCGACGCGAATCCTGCAGGGTGGTTAAGTGGGTTTCAAGCTCGTCTTTACGCATGCGCAACGCCCTTAATTCGTTCATCAGAGCCGGGTTTTCAGTGCCGTGACCACTGTTTTCCAATTCTTGCTGGCGCCTAGGGTGACATTTTTGTTTTTCAGAATTTAAAATCACAAATTGATGAGTTTCGTGGCTTTTGAACCTAAACAACAGTGAAAATTTACCTTAATCTCGCGATTTCTCTCATAATTTCACGATTTTTCGCTTCTAATTGGCTGATTAACTCTCGTTGAGCCCTCGTCGAATCCATTCCTAAACAAGCCTCTGAAGGAACTCTCCCCTGACGAATAACACAAATTAGACAAACAAAAGCCAAGGAAAAGGTGAGTTTTCACATAAACATGAAAAGACACCTTTGATAGCCACAACCTACAATATCGTAAAATATTCATTTCTGATTTTAACAGTTTTAGGGACTCGTAGGTTGCGAGTGAGAAGTATACAATTATTTGCATTTTAAGCTGAGAATGACATTAAGCTAAGCAACTCACCGTGTCCGGTGAAAGCGAGTTTTTTCGGTAACCGCTTCTCGCCTAAAGAGCAACGGCAAAAGCACATTTAGGAACATCATCATCCAACATAAAACAAAAAAGATATAGAGATAAATGAGATAGAACATGCTTTAGTTATTTTATTCGTGGAGAAAATGTCTAAGAAGTATCGTGAAAAATTCTCACCATGCCTGAACGCGCTTCTTGGGCCAATCTCGCTGCGTACCTCGCTATCATTTTATGTTCGTCATCTCGAGCGCTGTCTAAACTGGATTTCAACAAAATTATTAAACTTATCGTTATTTTTTCGATTAAAAGAAATTACCTTCTCGCCGTCGATCTACTATCCAAACTACCCATTCCGTCAAAATGCGAAGTGAAATTGTTGCCATCGGGGAAGCCATTGTGAGAAGGGATCGGCGAGGGGGGCCTGAAATTGATCAATTTCAATCAAATTAGTCGACACTATGGTATTACGAAAACGTACACGATGTGAGAGAGATTCAGAGTTTTCTCGGGCTGTTCGGGGAAGCGAGGCAAGTTGTTTTTCTGTTTGTCGGGGACGCAACGAAAAGACTTCCTCAGAGATTGTCCGATTGTTTTACTAGGAGACTGAAAAAAATTTAAAATCACTGTAAATAAGTGATTGCAACGGACATAATGAAAGTTATCTTCCATTTTTTATTTCATGCATTTCTTGTGTCTAATAGTATAATTTGTAAATTTATAAGATTTAGATTTTAGACTTTAGTATTGAGAATGAATATGAAAGTTCTTATCCTATTCAAAATGAGTGGGATAAGTGACAGTTATCCCACAGTCGTTGATAAAGGCTATTATGGCTTTCGAAAATAGTATATTAGAAAACAAGTTTCATAAGACCAGTCTTGAAGCACAAATTCAAGTTTAAAAAACGAGTGGCGTAGCTACGAATTATTTAAAAACAATTTTTTTTGTATTACTTTTTGTACTTTGTCCCCTTTTTAAACAAAAATTTTTACTTTAATCGATTTAGAGATTGTTGTGAAGTCGAAATTTTATCAAATTACCCTTTATCTATTAAGACATCGCACGTGATGACGTCGCGTTCTTTAATATGTCCATTAGAGAATCAAAATGGAGGCAAATTACAAAAATATTTTTTCAAGTTTTTACAATATTTAAAAGTATAAAATTGTTAAAAAAATAAAAAGAGACGTACAAAAGTCGAGTATTCCTTAACTTGATGATCCAACGTGTGCGGGGCCGTGACCCTTCCCTTCCAGAAGCAGTCCTGACATAAAGTGTAATGGGGGCACTTCTGACACCGATAACGGAAGCCTGTGAAATTTTCCCTTTGACAAGCATCACATTGAGTCGGATGAATAACTGCGAAAGCAAATAATTACACACATTAACTTATAGCTGTTATATCTTTTTACCGTTTTCGACGTTAGCTATTCGATGAAGTAACGGCAACCAAACTAGACACGGCGGCCCAGGATCGGACATCAAAGTATCCAAAAAGTCATTCACGGTGATTTTAACGTTCTGTAAACATTATTTAATTATTCATCAGTTAAAAGCAATTCAATTTTAAAAACTCACTGGATTAAAAATTGAGTTTGCGAGCGAATCGGTATAATTGAACGTGGGAGATTCATAGACGGCTGCAGGCAAAGCTAATACTTCTTGAAGGTATTCGTTGAAACGCCATTGAATGAGAAGACCGTTGCTGTCGGAAATTTGGGAAAAAATGTCTGAAAATACAGGTGCTTCTTTAATACGGCAAATAAATGATTTTAATCTACAGCTTACATCGCAATTTATCCATTAATTTTCCGGCACATAATGTTGCCAGGGCTACCTTAATGGAAAACACCCGAATTTTTCCCACATTATCCCTGGAAAAAAAATATCAACAGGTTTTACACGACACTATTAATTTTAGCTTAGAATCTCAAACATTTTGAACGTTTAATACTGCTACTACTATTTTAAGAAATGAAAAACAAATTAATTATTATTAAGAAAAACATAAACAAAATAAACTCAATCATTAATTTGGCTTCAGAAAATTGAAGAAACAAATAAAATTTGTTATTGGTAGAAAGGCATTAATTAGCCCAATTGCATTGACTTTGTAAAGAGACAACGACAAACCTCATAATAATGTGTTAGGCAGTCGGGATTTATGTATTTACACTCCCACTACCTAGCGATAATTATTTGCGAGGCGAATTTTCTAAATGTAATCATTTAATTTTTGAGTGTCGTACGGCACTAGGCCGACTCGTGCTATACGTGGTAGCAGGCGGTTGGAAGAAAATAAATCCCGTCCGCCTAACACTGACAATTACCATCGCCTGCTTGTCTAAAAACGTTGGCATAAAAATAATGTAACATTTTTTTTTCTAATGAATATTACATAAATATGTACAAACACCTAATGAGTTGTGATTCGTAACAATTAATTTTGACACTAATACTCGTAAAGTGCACATAATTTCCTATAATATCGTGCGATCAAAAGAAAAATAAGAGTAGGCGTCGATTAAATTCTACAGTTGGCAACATATTGGCTGGGAATGTGGGCTGGAAATTTTCCACACAAACTGAAAATGAAAATGACCATTCACCGTTTTCGTCTTGTACCGCATTTTTGTAATAACTTGCAACAATAAAAATTTTCTGCTCTAAAGTGAACATTATTTCACTCAAAATGAATAAAACGCAAACTTGTCAGTTTCCGCCGACATTTCATGTCAAAAATCAGGATTGCCATTGAAGGACTTCAATCACCGCCTACTCTAATTTATTTATTTTTGTGATCGCACGGTATTATCTGATTCCGCATCACCAATATCTTCTAACCTTCCAACGTAATTAATTAAAATTGCAAGAGATTGTATGGGAGCAAAACCAATAGCTTTAAAGCCATGAATAATAGATTTCATAAAGCGTCCTCCACTTTTGCGATTCCTTCCTTACTCGCAATATCTCTTCCGCATTTAATAAATTGTCATTTTCATATTTGGCTTACCAGAACCTAATACAGCAGTCGAGTCACGAGGAGCTTCTGTCACATCAACTTTTATCACGTTTGCACAGTCCCAACAACGTTAATCATTAAATGTTGATATAGTTATCTGTTAGTCAAGAAGCTTACATGTATGTATATTAAACTCGGTAAACAAAGAACAGCAGTGCGTAAAATCATTACGAACCCACCCTACAATGTGCAATTCTCGACATAGAACCCATTCTCACATAACATAAAACATAATAGGACCCAATGACTAGAGCTCGAGACTTAACACATCGACGTAATCTAAAGCCCTGTCTACACTAATAAAACAAATGGTAAATGCCGTGGTTTCAGCAATTTATTGTTATGCTCCTCTTACGTTAAATTAACACCCGCCGTAAGCCTTGCGGCCCACCCCTGGACAATTTTCTTCAAGATGACAGGAATTGGGATCATATGAATAAAACACAGTCACAATTCACCACTTCATCAATCACAATTTATACAATGAAAGGCGACACAAGAAAAGATTTGTTTCGGTCTAATAATTTCAACTATGTTGTAAAACATGGAGCTTAATAAAACTGAAAGGTTGATAAAGGAAGATTTTTTCTTGCTGTTGGTGTCTGATAAAAGCATTTGCAGCGATATTTTCTGTAGTAATTGAACGTAAAAAAGCGGATTACGCATTTTTTCCAAGAGTAGCAGTTTCAAGAAGAAGTTTTTAAGACTCCAAAAGAGTATCCTCTATAATGACTTGAAAAAATATTTAAATTAAATCAACTCTTAAAAACCCTTTCTTTTACACACTGTATCTTTCTTATTTGAACAATAATTTTAGTCCTAAATGAACAAAAATCTCTTGAAAAAAAATATGTACTCAATGATAAGCAAGAATGTTTTGAACATCTAATGAATTATCTTAGAAGTGATAAATTTTCATTTTCCGTTGGTGGTTTATTTTATTAATCTATATGTATTATTACTATTAAGCAAGTAATAAAGAAAATTGTAATTCGAAATGGTAGCTTAAAAATAGAAATTGCAGATAACAAAAATTCAAATGAAATCATTTAATTAGATACATATAGACAAAAATTTCAAGTAAGATAAGATACCAGGAACATGAAAAAAATGTTTAAAAAATTCTATCTGTCAAAAAAATTTTACATTTATTTTTTGACATTTGACATTTTTTATGTCTATCTAATGATACAGTTGGAGACAAAATACTCTGGTCGTCAATGTCACTTGAGTGACATTAAATTGTAAAGCATGCTTTAGGACTGTTAACCTTATTTTTAGCTACTGTCAATCATAGTTGACAAGTTGTATGTACAAATTTTTGATARAAAAATATAATAGCTGTCATTAATTTGAAATTGTCATTTATTTTAACTTTAAAGCTTGAATTATATTAAAGTGTCAGAAAAGTGACGACCAAAGTATTTTGTCTCCAACTGTACTGATGATCTTGTATATGTTTTTTATAATTATTTAGTAAAGGTAAAAAAAAATTGCCAATAAAAGCCACAAATAACATTAAACATAATTACAATTTAGGATACTGCTTCCTTGTATCCTCTTCTAATAGCCTAGGCAAAAAAACTTCAAAAATTATTTTTCCAAAAGAAATAAATATAATCAAAGTGCAATATTTAAACTCTCATAACTTAGAAATTTTTATAGATAAAATTTACAATGTTCCTGATACCTTACCTTACATGGCTTTTTCTCTGGGGCGCAAGTTCTGGCGCACCCTGTATGTATTTGCAAAAAAAAAACATAACAAACCATCAAACCTACAAAAGTTGTATCAAATAATTACCCGTTTTTGATGTCGTTCAAACTTTATAACAATTTCTAAATTTACTACAATTTCTTATTCAATACTAGAGTTGAAAAATGTTTTGAAGAAAACACAAGTTTTATAGTTTAAAAATTTCAGTCGTTTAAATTCTTGTTCCCTAACGGGAACGAATTTAAACTATGACCTCGATCTTTAAACTTTCTATAAAACTCTTGTTGTCTTAATAGTTATAAAATTCAAGAAAAACGGATGAAAATCTATGTTACAAAATTATCTAGACGTTAATTGTTTTTCACAATATTTACAACTTGTTTATATAAAATGTTGTGTTTAGATTACATCATTCCCAATTTTCTATTCCTTTTAGCCAAGGCTTTAGAACCTACTCATGTCATGAGCAACCATCTATTTTAGCATCCTTCAATTAAAACATACAAAATATTTCATTCAACCAATCAACCATCCAAATAAACAAGTAAACGAAATATTTCTCTTCAATAAATACCAAATCAGCCTTTATAAATATTGACTTCATCGTTCATTTAATTCACTGTTTGAATATCAGTTAATAGAGTTTTATACAAAAGGTCAAAATGGGTCAAACGACTGACAATACATAGTAAAACACTTTTGAACTTACACAGTGGCATAAGCAGCCAGAAGCCAATTCAGTAGTAAACTAGAGCACACATCAACATGAGCTTGTTGCGTGGGTGGTGCCCTTTTGTTCAGACTGTGGTAAAGAGAGCATAGCAGAGTTTCAAGCCGAGCAACACTGAGCTCTGAAGATGGCTCCAAGGCATGGAGGCCTTGCTCCCGAAACGCTTCTATCACATTCCAAATATCAACAGCATGTACTGCAAGTCAACGTGTTAGTCGCTTTACCATGTTAAACTTTATTAAACTTACGGCTGACTTTTTTCTGAATAAATCTGAGTTTTGTGGCAGTTCGGTATGAGGCAAATCTTATCAGATCAAAATTGTGGGCACTCATCTCGTGAATTAAGGCCAACCGGTGGTCCCCCGAACTCGAGAGGTTATCTTGTCCCTGCATTGCTGCAAAACAATCAACATATCAATAGTAAAATGCATAATTCCGATTTGTTTTGATTTTGCTGCTCGTGATAAAAAGCACGTCAATAGAATGACATGTGTCAATCAATCAAGGCCTACGCAAACTGAAAAGATTACGCTGGAACGCCTTTTACTTTCTAATAACAATTAATAAAAATAAATGTGCTAAACGAATCATTTAAAAACCTTTTTCTTTCGGAGTTAAACGAACTGTCACTTCGATATGATAGATGAGATTTTTAGGTTTTATTGATGTTTTCGTGGGTTTTCGTCAATTAAAACAAAACACACTTACTATTTGCTTTTTAATTTTTGAATATATGAAGACACTGCACTAATAAATCACAAGAAAAAGTTAAAATTGTGAGAGAAACAGCACATTCCACCACACAACGTACGCCATTTTATTCGAGCCCCCGACCAGTGGTGGTTCGTCAACCAGGTCAACCACTCTGTAAGTGGGTTGCATAAATAACGATTTGAGTCTTGAGCGAAATATTCCATAATTTACAATTTCCATAAACCAAAAAATATCAAATTTGAAAAAAAATCTAAAGTAAATAAATGTGTTGTTTAAATGTGTAAAACAAAAACATTTATAATTTTAATATCTTTATTAAAACATGTACCAAAAATATTTTTAATGTGATATCATAAACTACTGCAGTTTTTCAGAAACAATTATCATTTGTTCTATCAAGAGACGGCATGAATATGATTCTAGTTTACCTATCTCAATTACTAACTAACTAAAAACGTTGTAATTATTTAAAGGGTGAACAAAGTAGAGAAAATTATTTAATTTTTCAAAATTTGTAATCGAGTTCGTATCGGAATATGTATTATTGATTGCATCTTACAGGCGCAGGCCTCGTAAAATTACTGAAACACCCTGTATATTTTTGTTGATTATTATTTATTTTTAAAATTTTCTATAAATATTTATTCTATGTAGTAGGAATTTTTTATGTTGTATAACAACGCTCTCATCAAAAATATTTATTTTGAAGTGAATCACAATAGTAAAAAACTAAAACACAGACTGTTTTATTATTTACTTTTATTATTATTAGTTTATCATTCATTGTTTTATAGTATTTGTACACAATTCGATATACACTTTTACTATTAATTATATATACTACTACAATAGGTAGCAGGGTACTACCCAGTTTTGTTGTTAAAAAGATAATGTCGAATTAAATATGTTTGTTATTAATATTATATAAACGCTTATTATTATCCTATGAATACATTTACAAAAATAATCACCAAGCTAATTCGTTAATAAAATGAACACATAAAATAACAGTTTATTTTATTTTTAATAAGTGATATTTTTATGGCCCTTTATCATTTCCTCCAGATCTACCAGCCAATGCCGCATAATATTGATAGTTCTGGAGATTATTACAAAACTCGCAGTATCCAGGAGCCCCTTGTGGCCCAGGTGCTCCTCTTAAACCAGGTGGACCAGGTCTCCCCGGTTCTCCTCTGTCACCTGTTCTTCCTTGTAACCCAACACCTGGAGGTCCCGGAAAACCTAAAACCCACAAATTGATCAATTCCAACAAAACGAAAAAATCCTGGGACCATCCACGTGGATGGTCTAAGAAAAAATCAAACCTGGTAATCCCCTAGGCCCCATCGGCCCTTCTGTTCCAACCCCTTCAGGCCCTCTGTCACCCTTCTCGCCCCTTTCTCCCGGTAAGCCGATCGAACCTGGCGACCCTGCTGGTCCCGGCAGCCCTATGAAACCCCTTTCGCCAGGTAAACCTGGTGGTCCAGTGTCACCTTTTACATGCGAAAATATTATTTTGTTGCCTTGGGGATTATTTTGTGCATCAAAGCTAACCTGGGATACCGGGGACTCCTGATCGTCCAGATGGGCCGGTTCGAGTCAAGCCAGGAGGCCCCGGTGGCCCCCGCAACCCAAGTATTAGTTCAGCGTGTCTATCTGCATGCAATTGCATTATTAGTTAATGGAAATGCAGTGAAACGGAATGGGGATGTGCTAAAAATAATCAGAAAGTACCTGGTGGACCTTGAACTCCTGGGGAACCCGGCCGACCGGGTCGGGAGTGACCCGGAGGACCGGGAGGTCCAATAAGAGTTGCAGATAACTCGTTTAGCTGGTCTGATAATGGCAAATATTAATGTTTCAAAAAATATATAAATGTTGATTTTTATTACTACTAAGAAGGCCCCTTCAGCACATAAACTTTTTTAAGGATTCTACCCTGTTTTGAAAGCATATTAAAAAAGTCTTCGGCTCATGGGCCTGTTCAGAACAACAGTTCGCTGAAGAGGCCTTCCTAGTAGTTTTATTACCTCGTAATACTGCCGCACATATATCCCGCACTTCCGCTTCTGTAAAACTCTTGCCCTAAAAATAACAATAATTATTAACTTATTTATTAACACAATATAATTTTAGAAAAGTATATCTCTTGAATTTCGCGCCTGCATGTCATCAAGAAAGCGCGGTGTTACCAACGACCAATCACAAGCGCTAAAAGATTTAAATGTCCAAATGCTCGTTCGTTTGTCGACTACTTGACATGACACATCGCTGTTGGAGCTTGCATTTGCACGAAAAATCTTTTTAAAAGTGAAAACGAAGACGTTAAGTTTATTCTCTTGTACAGTGTTTTATTATTTTATTATTTACACAAGGTGAGTGAGTACTATTTAATTCATTTATTTAAGTATTTAAGCATTCTAACGATTTCGTTCAAATGACGGACGGTGCATCTTGTAACGGTCATTTTTCAAACGTTGTTTATCATCACAGTTTTTATTCTGTTTTATTTAAACTAGCTTAAACTACATTATTGTGAATAACGATTACATTTTAATTCGCTGAAAACAACCTGAAAATTGAGGAAAAAATTGCAAGTGGAAATATTTTACTGGGAACAACAAAATGATTTGATAATTTTCTTAGTAGGTATAGGGGAATTATTATTATACACTGTCACTATTCAAAGTGCAATTAGTTATGATAAAACCTATTTTGAAGAATTTTACTTAATTTAGTCTTTTCAGTATTCATACCCTGTCGAGTCCTTTGGGGCATGATAACTTGCTTCTCCGCCTCTCATTTTTTAAAATTTTAGTCGCCGAAAAATTCAATTGATGTTTTGTTGTGTTTTTATGCTAAGAGATAAGTTTTTCACTCTAGGTTAAAAATTATCTCCTCTTTTATTACTAAACTTAGAAGATGTAGTAGAACATGAAAAAAATATCGAAAGATCAAGAAAATAATTTGTAATCGAGTCATAAAATTTAAGGAATTTTCAGCCTTGGTTACATAACAATGTATGGCCCTTGCGCAAGAATGTTATTTATTATTATTGTAGGGTGGTATATGTATGAGCAAGGGCTCCTGCGCAAGAATAATTTTAGCAAAGGCTGATGGGAATAATCGTTCTTTCGGATGAACTAGTTCGCGCAATTCCACCCCTTTAGAATGGTCTTTATTTGAAGAAAATCGGCCGAATAGTTATTGAGTAATGATTTTTTAAAGTTAAAGTATTTTAAATTCATTTAGATTAGAAAAAAAATATTTAGTTCAAAGTGTGTGGACTTTTTGAATTTTTTTTAGTGCATTTGATTTGTCTTATTGAGACGAACAAAATGATATAAAATTTGTCAAGTTGCCACGACATGACTTTTTTTTTGTCGGCCTGTGTTATCAGTTTGCGTTCCACCCAATATTTTTAAGAACGCTGCGAATATGGTTAAAGATACAAAAATTTGTAAGAAACAAAATTGTAGAGAATAAAATTTGCAACAAAAAGTCCGCGACACCGTCTTTCTATCTTCAACGGTTTAGGTTTAAAGTACATTTATGTCTTGATTTGTCTCGATTTAAGGACCAACACACCTTAACAAACCTAAATGTGCAATTTTTTACATTTATATTTGCAGCGAAAACAAAGTATCTTTCAAATTAAAATCTTCTTTTTGTCGTCAATTTTGATTTTGAATTGTCTGAAGTTGGTCATCTTCTGTCACATTTCAGAGTTGTGTTGCATCTTGCATTATTTACCACATCTTCCTTTATACATCTTTTATACTTCTAGCCTTATTCTTAACTTTATTACTCAATATCGCAAAAACTATGCATCGTAGAGTATTTTAACCTGTTGCATCGTGTTCAGCGGGTAATTTTACGTCTAAAAAAACAAATTTCACACCTTTTTAAACTCAAAAAATTCGTAAGTTTTTAAACTTGACCCAATAACGTTTTGTGCACTTTTTTGAGTCTTTAAGATCACTAGAAATGTAAAAACCGTTATATGGATCAATTTTAAAGTTAAATTTTTTTTTTATTTTTGTCGAGATTTTCGTCGATTTTGACACCCGGAGCGGTCTATTTACAGTAACTTCGGACTTCTTGGTGATACCGCTTATGTTTGGTACCATTGGAAAGAAAATTTAATTTTCTATCATACAGGGTGCGTCAGAACTCGCGCCCCAGAGAAAAATGCCATATAAGGTAAGATACCAGGAACATGGAAAAAATGTTAAACAAATTTTATCTATAAGAATTTCGAAGTTATGAGGGTTTGCCTCTATTTATTTCTGTTGCAAACATAATTTTCCAAGTTTTTTTGCTATAGGCTATTAAAAGAGGAAACAAGAAAGCTGTATCCTAAATTGTAACTCTGTTCAATGTTATTTGTGGCTTTTACTGGCAAAATTGTTGTACCTTTACTAAATAATTGTCAAAAAACATATACAAGATCATCAGTATCATTAAATAGACATAAAAAATGTCAAATGTCAAAAAATAAATGTCAAAATTTTTTGACAGATAGAATTTTTTAAACATTTTTTTCATGTTCCTGGTATCTTACCTTACTTGAAAATTTTCTCTGGGGCGCGAGTTCTGGCGCACCTTGTATAAAAAAGATCAGAGTTCTGCGCTAAATAGTTATTGAGAAAATTTCTGATAAACAATTCAAAGAAAAAATGAATAAAATTATAAATTAAAATATTACAAAATTTAACAAAATAAATTTATATTTATCCACAATTACTCTATAAAGAGACTTTATTCCACACTTTAGATGCGTAGAAAGTACCCGTTGTATTTAAAATGGTTCGTTAAATATAATAATCAAATATTCTCTTAATCCATTCGTTCTTTTGATTTCTATTTTTTGGAAATTGACGTAAAGTAACCTCATCTTTCTCCCCTTGTCCACAGTTTGGAACACAACAAGTTTGGATACTTGGCATTTTAAGAATTATAGTGTAATGTCTGAAACAAATATACTATTGATACTGCGCTTCTTAGGCTGAAAAAATAGATTGGTTGTGTGACATAGCAATATTTGATTAAAAATGTCAAAAATTGTAACATTTAATTTCCTGCAAATTTTCAAATTTCAATAATTGAAGAGTGGAAGTTGCAAAGGAGCTAAGTGTCAAATTTTCACTTCTTGAGATATTAACTTGACATAGTGATATGTGCCATGCTGCTTGTCCCTTCAAAAGCGCCATGTGTCATTAAAAGACGAGGCTGTCGGTATAATTTGATCAAGTTTTTATTATTCAAAAACAGCATTTTGGCACTTAGCCCCTTTGTAACTCCCACTCTTCAATTACAGTTTCCTTTGGAGCGAGGCGCGCGCTATCTTGATCTCTCGATAGAAATCAATTAAACAGGGCAGGACTGGTCATCGGAAGACATTTCCCCATGGGGCAGACCCACTTAGAGCAGACAATCATTTAAAATTTTGCGTAAAGTGTAGCGTAAAACCTAATTTTGCAAATATAAATATGAAATTATAAAAATATCTCTAGTTATTTTCATCAACCTGAATACCCAGATTTGATATACTTAACTTTTGTAAAATCTCGTTGTATTCATTAGTTTTAGATTGGTAAGAAAAGGTTTGTCTGTGTAAAAAAAAATAAATCACTGCTTAGTAATTTTTTTTTATTGCAGATGGCCCACCGTAGTGTCGTGAGTACTGCCAAAATCGGTGAAAATGAAATGGTCGCAAGGCCTACTAAAATACACTTACTCAAACCTAGTGGACCGAGCCGGCGCCCTGCATTAAACAGTATCGACAATCTGCTTGACAATCCCGAGAAACCCTTTTTGAGAAGGACAGAAGTAGCGAAACCACTTAGAGCTGATCTTAAACTTAAGACTGAAGCCATTCCACATGAATTTAAGTCTAAGTCGACGAAACAATTGAACAAGGTGACGGAAGAAAACATCTCCAACAGCAATAAGACTGAAGCATTACCACAGGATGTCAAATCCTACTCTTCTAAACAACTGGATACTGTGACCGAGGAAGATCTCTCCAACAGCAATGATCCTCAGATGGTAGCAGAGTACATATTGGATATTTATCAGTACTTGCAAGAATGCGAACTGAAATATCCCATAAGACAACATTATCTCGCGGGTCATAAATCGACGCCTCGAATGCGCACAATACTAGTCAACTGGTTGGTTCAAGTCCAGCAGAACTTCGGTCTGTGTCTCGAAACCCTCCACATGTGCGTGTCGATAACAGACAGATATCTGCAACACAACCTGACGGTGGATCGCAACAACTTGCAGTTGGTGGGCACCACCGCGCTTTTCGTCGCGTGCAAATATGAAGAGATGTATTTTCCCGAACTTTCAGACTTTGAATTTATCTGTGATAATTCGTTCACGAAGAGTCAGATTTTGCGGATGGAAATGAGCATTCTGTCGTCGCTGCAATTTGAATTGGGCAAACCTCTGTCAATTCACTTCTTAAGGAGGCACAGTAAAGTCGCGCAAGTTCGCATCGAACACCATAACCTTTCTAAGTACTTGCTTGAGTTAGCGCTACTCGATTATGATATGTGTCACATCAGACCGTCAGTCCAAGCTGCCGCTGCTACTTGTTTGGCTTTGAGTATTTTAAACAACGTTTCATGCCCTTCGAAAGTCTGGACGGAGAGACTTGTCCAGTGCACCACTTATAAGTACACAGACATTAAACAAGTTGTGGGACAATTCGCCAGTTTGCTTCTTGCTGCCGATATTTCCAAACATAAATCGGTTTATCAAAAATATTCGGTGTCAAAATTCAGCAAGATCAGTACTCATCCTAAGCTGAAAGGGACTCTTGTTAAGAGGTTGGCGAAAGTCTGATTTTACTTATACAGTATTTTTAAATGTTTTTTATTAGGTATGTATTATGAAGATATTTTCGTTTTGTAAACAAAATAAAATAAAAATATATAATCAGCTAATAAGTCTTTTATTGTAATATTTTAAAAAGTCGAAAATCAAATTTAAGTTAACAAAAGCTCAAAATAAATCTTGTTGGAAGGGGTGGATTATTATTTATGGTTTGTTAATTTGATAATTGGAACAAAGAGAGCAGTGCAATCTAAAATGGTTTAAAGAGAAATGAGATTTAGGTTGTAAGGACCTGAAACGGAACATCTTTTGATAATCAGTGTATTTTAATAGATATGGTAAGTAAGCGCAACCTTGAGAGAGACTATTACCTTTATTGTCAAATAGATTTTGCAGCGCAGTTATAAATTTTGCAAAAAAGTCTGATGCAATGTTAAAAGTAATTATTTAAACTAAAAGGCTTAATAAATAAACGATCAAAAGTTATCAATTTACAAACCATTATTTTAATAAAAAAAATGTTTTTTGGGGTGAAAAAACTTTGCCCACTCTGTACAGGGTGCTGCATTTTGGATGACCGAATAGGGAATCTCCGAAACTAAGAGGTTTAGCCAAAAACGAGTAATACATTCTGGGTCTCATTTTTTGAGAAAATAATATTGGTTAAAACCGCATCCAGCTATTGTCTTTTGTTTTCGACTTATAGACAAAAATTGACATTTCAACGAAATCTAAAAATTCATATCTTCGTTATTATAGTACACAGATTTGAAATAAAGACATTATGCAGGCACTTTTTTACGTAGAATTTAATAATGTAGTTACCAATTTTTTCAGTATTTCAGTATAAATTTGTATTTTTTTAAATGGGAATCATAGATGATTATGTCATATTTAAAAAGCTTGTCTTATAATACATTTTTAGCAAAAAATTATCTTTGATTTTTGTTCGCCATGAAAAAATGTTGCATCTTCAACTAAAAGGATTTAAACTATATTATTCAACCAGTGTCACTAATGAAAGAGTTTTCTAAGTACTAAGTAATGAAAAAAATGCAAAATAAGTCGTAAATCAACTTATTGGCGACTATTAACATTTCTTTGTTTTTAAACAAGCTAACATTACCATTGTAACTTCTAGTGACACATAGAGTGTTGTAAAAAAAGCCGCTTTAATTCTTCAATAAAATATATTTTATATGACACAAAAATGACGATATGACTATTCAAATATCCAAATTCCGTCTATGTAGAACGTTATCCTACCTCCATTAGACCATCAAAAAATATTTTTTCTAATTGTGTTGACTGTTGACACATTTATTTTTCCTATTTTTGGATTTTTTTAAAATATGTTATAATTTTCTTATGAGGCGCTCGCATATTTGTTCAATACTTCTACCGTATCGTATTTTTTAAATTTTTATAATTTTATCTATTTTTTCATCTATTTTACAGTTCACAAAAGTCTTATTGATTACACATTTGGAGTGAAATAGTTTTTCCATGGCCAACTATTATCAAACAAAATATGTATTTCATTTTTTAAGTGTATTATAAAAAAATATTCTGTTACAAATATATATTTTTTAAATCAGAAAAAAAATTAAAAAAATACAAGTTTATCTTATTACGGCTAAATCAATAACTGAAAAAAATTGTTAACTACGTTATTAAATTCCTCGTTAAAAAGTGGCTGTATAATGTCTTTGTTTCAAATCTGTATCTTATCTTCTATAATAACAAAGATATGAATTTTTTTAGATTTTGCTAAAATGTCAATTTTTGTCTATAAGTCGAAAACAAAAGACGATAGCGAGATGCGGTTTTAAGCGATATTATTTTCTCAAAAAATGAACCCCAGAACGTATCACTCGTTTCTGGCTAAACATCTTAGTTTCGGAGATTCCCTATTCGGACATCCAAAATGCAGCACCCTGTACAGTCGATGTCACAACACAAAACGGTTCACTTACCGGTGGTCCTTGCATGCCTGGCAGCCCCGGCGTACCCCTCTGTCCCGGTGGCCCTGAAAAACCCGGTGGTCCTTCTTTTCCTGGAATTCCGGGTAACCCCGGTTTTCCCTCCGGTCCCCGTTCTCCCGCGGCACCTCGTTCTCCGGGCTACAAAATCACAATTGTTAAAATGTCGTTGCATGATGAATTATATTTACAAGACCGGCAGGTCCTGGAAAACCTCTAGGTCCATGGACTCCAGGTGCTCCTGTACTGTCGACAATTAGGTGCCCTACACCAACGCCGCTATCACCTGGCGGCCCCGGGGGACCTGGAGGACCAGAAGGTCCTGGCGGACCTAGTAAACCGGGTGGACCACTAGGACCGGGGACTCCAGGTAAACCTGTGGGACCCTAAATCAACATTTTTTCTAGTTTCGTTAAATAGGTATATGAAATTTGTACCATATGACCTGGTAATCCGCGGGGTCCTATGGGACCTTGTTCGCCAATTTCTCCTTGATCGCCTTTATCGCCATGCTTTCCGGGGGTCCCTGGGGTACCAGGATATCCGGGTTGGCCTTGCTTACCTTCAGGACCTTGTGGACCAACATCGCCTCGCAATCCAGGAGGGCCCTTTTTTTAGGTTATGTCATAAGTTTTTATATGAAACAAAAGTTTATAGTTGTAACCTGTTCGCCATCTTTTCCGGAAATTCCTTCAGGGCCGGGTGGGCCTTGTAATCCGGGTAAACCTGGAGGTCCCGGTAGTCCCGGAAAACCCCTTTCACCTTTTTCTCCATCTACTCCAGGAGGTCCAGGATCACCGGGAAGACCAGGTGGAAGTTTATCCCCCGATGATGATACTATTCCTGGCAATCCCGGGGGGCCTGCAGGACCGGTTTCCCCTTTCGATCCCGGAATACCTGGTAAACCTGTCTCGCCCGGAGGTCCCTTAAAAATCAGAATTCATTTTTTTAGACATAAATAACTTTGATAACTTACTGGCAATCCAGAGGGGCCTATCGGTCCTTGCAAACCTGGGGGTCCCATAAAACCTGCTTCGCCTTTCGGTCCTTCTGCCCCTGGTTGACCTTCTTTCCCAGGAAGACCCGGGGCGCCGTCTAATCCTGAGAGTCCTGGCAAGCCGCGATCACCTCGTTCGCCCTTTTCACCACGTTCTCCCTTCTCCCCTTGTTCACCCTTACTTCCCTTTATTCCTTGCACTCCTGGAAATCCAGGCTCCCCACGAGGTCCGGGAAGTCCACCTGTTGCAGCGGTATGTTGACCGACTTGAATTCCAGGTGGACCAGGCGGTCCCTAATAAAAATTGTACTGTTTTGTCAATTCAAATTGGTTTAAAAACACACCGCTGGTCCTATAAATCCTCTTTCTCCACGTTCACCTGGTTCTCCCCTTTCTCCTTTAGCGCCTTGTTCTCCAGGAATACCGTCTTTACCGGGAAATCCAGGAAAACCACGGTTGCCTCGAAGACCTTTAGCACCAGGTGGACCTTCGGGACCCTGAATTTTTAAAACGCAATAGATATTTACGTTCAGAAACTGAAATGTTATGTTACTGTTAAACCCGGAGGTCCTTGTGGTCCTATTGGTCCTGGAATTACTGTCCCACCAATGGTACTACCAGGACCTGGTGGGCCTTGTGGTCCGGGCAAACCCTGGCTACCTGGTAATCCTGGAATACCATCTTCACCTCTATCCCCCTTTGGACCAGCTGTCCCGATGTCACCCTATTTATTTACGAGATTACTAATTAAAAAATTCATTTCAAATTTACGCAAATACGCGATCCAAAATTTTGAATAATTTTAAAATCTATTATTTAAATAAAAACATTGTTTTTTTTTCAGAGTTGACTTTCAGTACCTTATCTCCTATGGGCCCCCGTCCACCATCTTTTCCCGGCACTCCTGGAGTTCCGGGTGGTCCCTGTATTCCCCTAATACCTGGAAGACCTTGTAAACCTGGTGAACCCTAAACAATCGATTTATTAAATTTCCCAAATATATAATAATAATGATTAATTCAAACACATGGTTATTTGTTATAAATTGCTCAACATACACGCAAACCTGGTGCTCCTGTTAGTCCCCTGTTTCCTGGACGCCCAGGCAATCCTGGCTCACCAATTAACCCCATGGGACCTCTCGGACCCGGCCTCCCCTAATTAGTTAATAAAGCATTAGACGTGTTAGAAGCAAATTGGTGCCATTTTCGTGTTTATGTTGTGAGTTAACTGTTGTGATATTTCGTAATCGACATACGGGATATCCTGGTCTTCCAAACTCCCCTCTTTCCCCACGTGCACCTGGCGGTCCTGTACGACCTTGTGGTCCTGGTGGTCCCGGCTCACCGGGCAACCCAGGAAGGCCCTTTTTTGTGTGTTTTTGAAACGTGTGGATTGATTATCACTTATAAAATACTACTTACATCTGTGCCATTATAGCCTGGAGGGCCTTGAGGACAAGTTACATCGCAGGGTTTAGGTGAAGGACCAATATTTTTGGAAGGTTGAACTGGTCTCACTTCCTGAAAAGTATATCAACATTTTGTCTACTATATGAAGGTTCCTTTTTTATTTATAGTGACTCACTGGAAGTTCTTCACATCTTTCTCGCAAAGGTTTTGTGTAATCACACGTCATGAACATCCACTGAAGATCAATCTAAAATAAATATTTACTAAATTTAGTACGTGGCAAACCAATAAGTAGTTACAAGAATTTTAATTAATTTAAGTACTTCATATTTGAGAAGTAGGTATTATTAACTCTTTCAGGTACACACTTTAATGTATTTAAAATACCGTACAGCTATTTACTGGATTTTAAAAATAATCATTTTTCAAGTTGTTTTAAAAAATAAGTATTAAAATAGCACTAACGACAGTTTATCATCGGTCTGTGACCAATTATTTTAGATTTCAGATTTTTTTACTTTCTCGGGTAATCTCATTAACTTGATGAACCCCTCATAAAATGTCGTACATTTTTGATAATTTCAAAACATTCTTCATATGAAGTAGTCATTGTCTATTACTTATTTAGTGACATAATAGGCATTTAAAAAAATAAATTAAGAAAATAAAATACTATTATAATGAACAGAGAAAAATAATAACAAATAATAAAAACAAAAGCAAACTAAATAATACGTACGATAGGTAACAAAAGTTATATTTTTTTGTAATAATATGGTTGAACGCAGTTTTTCTGTTTGCCTTAACAAAGAGACACTCTACAAGTTACACACTGCCAGTTACTTAGAGACTCTTGTTGCTTGGTGCTTCATAATGCAAGTATCAACGAAATAGAAAAAATTCAGTGCCACGATTTATGACTTTTTCAGTTGAGTACAGTGACGGACAGTGAATTTTGTCCAACCAATTTCCATGACAGACTAAAAGTGTAAATTAGTCTTTAGGTTTTTCTAACTTTTTGAGAACTTGATGAACATTTATCATGTTGACAAAATGCCCTATATTTCTTACATACTTTTTCCCTGTGCTTTGTCTTACATTGCTTGGGGTATAGTACCAATCCATTTTTAGATTGGAAATCCGGTAGAAGATGAATAAGAATTTAATTAAACTTAACAGTGTCAGTTATCATGACAATAAAGCACAGGCTACAGTGAATTTTAGTGAATTCACAGAAATTGAGTGGACGATCAAATTTATCAACAAAGTTCATTGTTGTAATTTTCCACAACATCAGGACATACCACTCATATCTCAAAAAACTAAGAATAATACGAATTACAGTTAGTAAAAATGCAAAATTTTATCAATGTAATGTTAAGCGAAATTGGTTACCTAATCAGGCTTTTGCCTGATCCTAAGGATCGAAATTCTAATCCCAATGAAAGAAAATTATTTTTCCTACAGAAATAAATAGAGTCAAAGTGCAAAATTTAAACTCTCATCACTTCGAAATTTTTATAAATAGATTTTTTTTTAATTTTTTCCATGTTCCTGGTACCTTATTCTACATAGCATTTTTCTTTGGGTCGCGAGTTCTGGCACACTCTGTATGTGCATATCATGTAGAACGTGACTCCTTCAACTATTAGAATCGCGATATCTCAGGAATGGTGATTCTTAGAAAAAAAGTATAAGGACCATTTTTGTAGATAATTTTAAGATCTATAATTTTTGTCTGGGCTACTTTTTTTGATAAAACTTACCGTTTTCGAAAAAAATTTAAAAAACGTCAAATTCTGACCTTTGACCCCGAATAACTTTTTTAGCACACATGGGATCGATGGGGACTTTTGTCACTTTATTTCTAATGGTGTACCCAAAGTCTCCACTAAAATTTAGCTCTGTCGGAATTTTCGTTATTTGACCACTATTTTTATGACTAATTTGACCGGACTATTAGTGACATAATAGGCATTTAAAAAATAAATTAAGAAAATAAAATAGTATTAGGGTGGAGCAAGATGGGGTAAAAGTATTTTTATTTCTTTTTATGGTTATTTAAAAAAAATAATTTTTGTTATTTTTTTTTATTATAGTCTAACAGAGAGAAGATTGATTAAGTTGATAAATAGAGTTTCGAACTTCTGTGATGTATATTTAGTTTTTTATTCGACTTTAAACGTTAAGGTCCCCGTCTTGCCCCGCCTTCCCCTACTTATTATTTTTTGTAATAATATGCTTGAAATCAGTTTTTCTGTTTGCCTAAACAAAGAGACAAGTTACACACTGCCAGTTACTTCGAGATTCTTGTTGCTTGGTGCTGCATAATGCAAGTATCAAAGAAATAGAAAAAAATTCAGTGCCACCATTTATAACCTTTTCAATTGAGTACAGTGACAGACAGTGAATTTTGTCCAACCAATTTCCATGACAAACTAAAAGTGTAAATTAGTCTTTAGGTTTTTCTAACCTTGTTTGAGAACTTTGATGAACATTTATCATATTGACAAAATGCCCGATATTCCTTACATACTTTTTACCTATACTTTGTCTTATATTGCTTGAGGTATAGCACCTACCAATCCATTTTTAGATTGGAAATCCGGTCCAAAATGAATAAGAATTTAATTAAACTTGACAATGTCAGTTGTCATGACAATAAAGCACAGGCTACAATGAATTTTTATGAATTCACAGAAATTGGGTGGATGAAATGCACTGTCCATCACTGTACGTCATCAACTGATCAAATTTATTAACAAAGTTCATGTTATTGTTGTAATTTTCCACAACTTCAGGACATACCACTCATATCTCAAAAAACTAAGAATAATACGAAATACAGTTAGTAAAAATGCAAAATTTGAACAATGTAATGTTAAAGCGAAAGTGGTTACCTAAATAGGCTGAAAAAAATGCTTAATGACGTCACGAAGCCTAGGAAAGTATTTGCCTGATAAACCGAAAGATCGATATTCTAATCCCAATGAAGGAAATTTATTTTGTTTTTTTTTTCCTTTTTTTATTAATTTATAATAATCATTATTATGTGTACATTCTCCAAAAACAATTCAATTTTTTTAAGCTAAAAGAAGTATCATAAAAATGTAGGTATTTCAAATTAATTAATAAATTGTATAGTTTTCATAATAATTTTAAGTTCATTGATTGTAAATAAAAAAATGTGGTACAGTTGAAGACAAAATACCTTGGTCGTCACTTTTCTGACACTTTAATGTAATTCAAGCTTTAACGTTAAAATGAATGACAATTTCAAATTAATGACAGCTATTGTATTTTCCTATCAAAAATATGTCCATATAACTTGTCAACTATGATTGACAGTAGCTAAAAATAAGGTTAACAGTCCTAAAGCATGCTTTACAATTTAATGTCACTCAAGTGACATTGACGACCAAAGTAGTTTGTCTCCAACTGTAAACTCTACAAGAATAATGTCTGTATTATTAAAAATATTTCCATTAATGAGCAAAACTGCTCAAAAATATAAATTAAGGGGAGTTAAAAAGGTGGGTTAAATTTTAACCCACCGTACCGATTCGGCCAAAAATGTGGTGGGTTAGATTTTAACCCACCGTCTCAATTATCATACTTCGAATAATCGTAGAGAAATCTAATTTCGCATTAGGTAATAGTTCTTAAAAAAAAACATGAAGTTATTATTTAATGTTTTAATAAATGTTCTTATAAATTGTTTATTTTTTTCTAAAATATGAAAAAAAATTTCTCCCCGGCGGGGAATCGAACCCCGGTCTCCCGCGTGACAGGCGGGGATACTGACCACTATACTACCGAGGACTGGAATATCCGGGTCATCTGTAGCGTCAACAACGACATTTTCGGGGACATTTTGTGACAAAGAATGAACCTGGTACTTTATATCCTCGTTTCTGACTAATATCTGGTACTTTATTCCCTCGGGAATAAGATAAAAAAATACCGATTTTTAGTCTTAAAATAAACTGGAATCGAATGAATTGAATCTTCTGGGTGTCTCTTAGCATAAACAAACTTCTTGATGAAATCTGTATTTTTGGGTTAGACTGCGTCTTGGAAGAAAAGATGACTTTTCGCCCGTTTTTGTAAGAGGCATCCGGACATTCTCAGGACATGAAAAGGAGAGAAAGAGACGTTAAATATCTGAACGATACTAGAGGCGAAACCAAAACAGATGATCATACGATGTAGATCATTAATCACAAAACGATTCCATAACAATTAGCAAAACTTTAAATAGCGCGGTAAGAATTTTAGCCATTTTATTTTTTGTTTATGCATAAAATCTTCAAATTACAAATAAAAGGCTAAAAAAATGTGGGAGTTATGTTTGAATTAAATTAAGGCCGGGATAGCGCGCACGCAGTCCCGACTACCAAAAATTCTGCGCCCGAGTTATCCACATTAGGGATAATCGCAGGGGTCAGCCCGACCTCAGTGCAATGGAAGGGCCTCTCCCTGGGGGAACCGCCTTATTGATCACGGTAACCCCTACGCCAGGTAAGTATGCTTTTGTAGTGGCAGGTTTCGTTCTTTAATATGTAAGGGGAAGTTAAGACTCGTAAGTGCAAGATTGTCGGGACATCTGTTGATCTCTTTAACAATTATACAGAGTGTTTCAGAACTCGCGCCCTAGGGAAAAATGCCACGTAAAGTCAGATACCAAGAACATGAAAAAAATGTTAAAAAAATTCTATCTATAAAAATTTCGAAGTTATGAGGGTTTAAATTTTACACATTGACTCTATTTTTTTCTGTTGGAAAATAGTATTTTTACCAATACGAATACACGAGAATTTATAAAAAAGAAAAATAAGTTAGATTAGATAATAAAGATTCTACGTCACAGAACGCTTATTAGCTGAGATATACTAGTACAATAGTTCAATAGTTATTAATTAAAAAGCAAACAGGTATGTTATTTTATTAGTGTGATAAAATATAAACTATTTACTTACCGGGAATGTGTGCTGCGATAAAATAAGGAAAGAAATTAGTTAAGTGCTTTACATAAAACGGTGCTACATTATTTTATTATTTGTATTTTTCCAAATATTAAAAATAACTTACTGGAACTGTTTGTCTTGAATTTTCAAGCTTAGATACAGACAATTCTCCATTAATATCAATAGGTCCTCGAGGCTCTACCAACACCGCTTCATCATTTTTTTCGCAGTCAAGATACAGCATGACTTTTTCTCTTGAAACACCAAAGTGGATTTTGTGCCAGTTCTTATCGAAAATCTAAAAAAATAAAAAATATTGCACGATCCTGCCAGGATTCGAACCTGGAATCTTCTGATCCGTAGTCAGACGCGTTATCCGTTGCGCCACAGGACCTTACAACGCAACGAAAAATTTTCAATTTGGAACAATTTCAGGAATTTAACATCTGGATTATGTCTTAATAAATTACGCAATAATAATTAAAACAGATTTAATGATGATTTCAGACATGCAAACATGACTCAATCACTCACACTTGTGCCATTAAAAATGATTGTTTGAAGCTCTCCCTCGTAATTACTCAATGAAAGCTCGATTGTTCCAATTCTGGGATTTAAGGAAATGAGAAATTGAGGTTTCGATTCCAAATCAGTGATCCTGATCAGATGCCACGATGTTTTCGGTATGCGACGTGCGCGGAAAGTGCAAATAAACGAAAATTGCTCTGGTAAACCTTGAGGAAAAATATCTCTACAACAGAATAATAAAATAACGAATAAACCCTTAAAACAATATCATTTGAACAAAGGCAACAAGCCCGGCTAGCTCAGTCGGTAGAGCATGAGACTCTTAATCTCAGGGTCGTGGGTTCGAGCCCCACGTTGGGCGCTCTTTTTTTTACCTTGTTGGTAATGTTAAATCCGCGTCTTTGTCTAATCTGTAAGCAGTTTGATACTGATTTGATCCTTTAACTTTACTAATGCCTGGATGTGTCGTTTCGGCAATGTCAAGCCGATAGAGTCTTATAAAGTCGTAAGCTTGTAAATCATCATTTCCTATTTTAAAATCGGAGCAAGGAGCACTATTTTCCTCTTCGTATAAACTAAATTCTAAAACAGATTCCATGTAACATTATTAAAAGTGAAATGCGACACGTAAAATCTTCAGAATTATTACGAGGACTCTTTTAAATCTTATGTAAATAGAACTAGTTTTACTAAAATCGAAAATCGAAGTATTGTAAGTCTGCCCACAATACAAGAAAAACAAATAAATTTTGCCTTATACGGACACATGTACCACAATAGGTACTACATATAAATGGTGTAAATCAGTTGTGGAAATAGAATAAAACTATTTCTGTACTTACGCCCTTTTACTTTTCCTAAAAGAATTACTGATGTGATTCCTATAAATGTTAGACATCTGGAAAAAACAACAGTTAATTAAGATTTTTAATAAAATACCAGAAGTTTTAGAGTTCATAACAATTTATCTGAGTTGAAAAATATTTTTTTTATTCTGTAAATATACAGTGTGGTTTGAGAATTGTTCCCATCTTTTCTTGGTATCTCCTAAACAAGAGAGAAGTACCAGCTCTAAATTTTGCAAGACGAGTGATGACTATTGTTTTGTACTATTTTGTTTAAAAAAATTTCAAATTTAAACAGTGGCGTAACGTAGGGTAGGCAGAAAATTGTGTGAACCCCAAAATAATTATGTCATCCGATATACTGATTGCACCGAAATCGATATAAATAATAGTCATCACTCATTTAGTGTGCTTACAAAATTCGGAGTCCGTAGTTTAAGAGTAGTTTAAGAGATGTTAAGAAAAGGTGGTAACAATTTTCAAATTTTGACGCCACTTGTCTCTGATGAGGAGGCGTTTTTGAGCAATTTTTGATAGGACGAAACCACATTAATTTTTACATGTTCTTACAATTCCTGAATTTTGGCCGATTAAAACAGAACCATCCTTGATAAATAATAAATAAAAGTATTTATAATTTCTAGGTTTACAACGTTCGATAGCAGAAAATATTGTTTAATCAATATATAAATAAATAAATATATAATAATATATAAATAAATCACCTGCAAAAAAGTTAATTAAACACAAAACATCAAAT